TTAAACCTAAATTCTTATAACTGAATGATTTATACTAAGTATTTAAAATTGATTATTTTCTTTCATTAGCGATGAAGATCTTTCGTGTGTTATAAATTTTGTTTTCTCATACTACTTCTTAATTGCTGCATTTATTTGGTTTGTTATTTTTACATACTCTCTTCACACAACGTTTCAATCCTTTGGTAAGTTGAAATATATATTTTTTTCATAAATATTTTCTTTTACAATTTTTTTTTTTAGGGAAAATACAAGAAAGAGTTGATAAAAAAGGTGGATATTTTCATTTATTAGCATGGTCTATACCACTAGTGTTTTGTGTTGTTGTAATGGTACTTGGAGAGATTGATGGCGATAGTGTAACTGGCACGTGTTTTGTTGGTGTTAATAATAAAATATATAGTATTATATTTGTACTTATACCAGTTTTAATATCTGTCCTGATTGGATTATTTTATTTGGTTCGAGTATTATTTGGACTATTAGCTTTAAAAAAAGAAAGCACACAAGTAATTTCAAAACAAGCAAAGTCTAAGATTCATTCAGCAGCAATTAAAGTTATAATGTTCATGATATTGATTGTTGTATTTGTGTCATCAATGTTTATGTGTTATATTTACGAATACAATAATGATCATTTATGGAAAGATAGTCTAAGAAAATATATTGTGTAAGTATTATTATAGTTAAGTGCTTTATATATATGATTATAATTGTTTAGTTGGTTAGTGTGCTTAAAGTATTTATAATTTTTCAGTTGCAAACTTGGTATTATACCAGATACAGATGTTGGAAATTGTCGTATCGAGTTTAGACCAAGTGTATCTAAAAAACAACTTTATATATTAGTGTTATTTGGAAATGCAGTTCTAATGTCATTTTGGGTGTGGACTAATCAAATTGGAAATGCTTGGTGCGAGTGTTTAATTCGTTGGTGTGTACTTGTATTGTTATTAATTATTCAATTTTAATTAATTTGATTTTTAGGTTAAAGAAATTGCGGGGTCATGAACAGAGAAACCAAGACTCTTCTAAGTATAATAAACATAAGTTGATTGCTAGTGCTTTTGCTAAAAGACATCAACTTAATAGTAATGATTTTACTGTTACCTTTTCAAAAGAAGATCCGTTTGGTAAATTATTTATAAATGGTTTAATCAATTCAAGTTAATCTTCAAAATAAATTACTATTTTAAAATATTATTTTTAATATAAACAAATTATATCTAGTTAATTTCATTAAAATATAAAAATGAATAATTGAAAAGCCTTAATTTAATTTAATTTATATTTAACAAATAAATTTGGGCTACACTAATGAATATGTATTAACAACATAATATAATATTTTAACTTAATTCAATTTTTTTTAAAGTGACTTTATTGATTTCTTTGTTAATAGAAAAAACAAGTACGTTGGGATAATTGAGACCTTTTGAATAAAATATTTTAAGCCAGGATAAAATAAACCAATAMATTTTTAGTTTATATTTCACAAAATATTCCATTTAAGGAGGGAGGGAAAGTTGATATGAAAAAACTTTGCTATAAAAAAAGTTTTATAATAATTTATAAATATTGATGTATAATAATGATACTTATGAATTTAATGAAATTTAATGTTAAACATTTTTGTACTTTCAGGTTTGGTGTTTGGGTTAAACAGTAACCTAACAGATAACATAAGTTCTACTTGGGCTGCTGCATTGCCCAAATTTATTCGAAGACGTGGGGCATTAACTGGTGAAGAACATTTATCAATTTCTTCTTCATTTGTGCAGTCAGACTCAGAGATTAGTTATAGTATGTGTAGAGTTTCTGTGGAATCTCGTAGTCATTCATTAGATTCTACTATATCAGTAAAAGCATTTGAAATGACTCGCAAAGTACGACGATTTTCCAAACATGTAAAAAAAAAACATAAAAGAAGTAATAAATTGGTGTGCAAACTACCATCATCTCAGAAAGGAAGTGTCACTTCACAAGATATAAATCGACAAGTAAGATATTTAAGCATATAAAACAKTATTATACTTTTGGTATTTCCTGGTTATTGAGACTAATCACAATATCAGAATTCACAAGTACTATTATTATGTATTGTTATTGGTGTGATCTACACCAGCTGTATCTAACCTTATGAACCTCATGGATCGCCATCACCATAATATAGTACTTACACTACAAGTTTTAGGTCCTTTTTCAGAGATTTTGAACCTAAAACTTTTTTTTTTGATAAAATCTTTAATGCCTCCTTTAATTAACCTCTGAAGTACCTTTTTTTTTTTAAACAAATTTAATCACCTTATTGATATTTTCAGTTGACGTTGACATTTCCTGAATTTCAAAATGTATATTCACAGCCTGATGTAGAGTTGCAAAAAACTGCCATTCCTAATTTAGAAAGAAGAGCAGCTTCAGCTGGCATTGATGAGAGTCTTAAAGAGCAGATGAAAACTTTGAAGACTCTTTCAATATCTTCCTTAAGTATGGTTAATACAAAATTGTTACAGATGAGTCTTAAAGGTTTAACCAGTAGTAATCAATCGGAGCAGTTTATACTAGAAGATTTCACTAAATATGACAGAAAAGGAAGGTATAAATCAGTTGCTATTGTAGACACAGACACTAGCACAGATACAGATGATGAAAAAAAGTCTTCCAACAACTCTGATACAGATGAGGGTTACTAATATTATTTTCTTACTTAAGTTAAGGAATAACAAAATTTCCTAAAATTCTGAGATTTGCTCAATGTTCAAAAACCAAATATTTTATATTTCAACTGGGTTATACTTGATTTCATAAAAATAATTTTTATATAATAATATTACATACTATAATTATTGTGGTCTCCTAAACCTATGTGATTTAAAGATTGATCTATATTTTTACATATTTATATTTTTTATCTTTAAGATTTCGAAATTGTACAAATTTTAACTTTTAATTGTACTGCAAAGCAACACTAAAATAAATATTTTTAGTTTTATTATGTCCTTTTTTTATTAGTTGATTATTATCTCGGATCAAAGATATGATTCAATACACATCTAAATTTGTTTTTGAGATGATATCAGTGCTTCATTTTTCCTTTCTGATCCACGTGTAACAAAAACTTGACGTGACAAAGGTTGATGAATCAATAGGTTTTTCATATTTAATTATTTGTATAATGGTTTTTAATATTTTTTCACTAGCTATTTTTGTGCACCTGAACTATTATACAGAAAAATTATGAGCTTTTATACTTCATAGATTGTATAAAAAAAATACGAGTCAACATTTTTTCAGCCATCATAAATGACATTTCAATCGGGAAATACTTGATCTTCGTTTCCCACTCATCAAAATTGTATAATGTCAACCACTGRGTATTAGACCAATTAAATACAGAATTCAATGAATAGGTTTGAAGTTTAAGAGAACACAAACATTTTTTTATCAAGAAAATTGATTTTAAATCAACTGAGAAAAGTTATTTCAACTGTCAATTACACTATATAGTTAAGTTCATGAATTATAAATAAATACAAAATCAAAACTCCTAGGTAATCTAACTCTCTTTCACGATTCCGAAGAGCTTACTTTGCGCCTTCCCTTCTAGGTTGGTTGATTATTTCTACTACTTGTGAGGTTGGGGGCCAAGTCCTAAACCGAGACGTCCGCACTCTGCAGGATCTCGAATATAGCGACTAGCTTCTGAAACTAGCAGACTTAGGGTGTGACTATTGGTTATACATAAGAACATAACCTTTCTGACCATACGTTAGATCACAAACTGACAAATCACAACGCTGCAATTTCAAACGCCTCTACGCCCTAAACCAAAACAGTTATAACATAGCAACCTATTTATAATTCAATTGTTTTTTTTACCTCTCAGAGCCATGAGGCTCGGCCAAGGACAAACAAAAAAACATCAATATAAAACCAATACATTTTTTCGCRTAGCCGCTAAACTAGATTTGTTCCCAATTATCAATCATCGCTCGGCTCAAAATCTAAAATTTAATAATATATTTATCGGACACCAATTAATCGTAAAAGTTAAAATTCTATTTGGCGATATGGCCTAGCTATCYGTAACTTGATTATCATAATTAATAATTATGTTGAACTTCGACCATTGCATTAACCATTAAGATAACACCTATATTCTCAACTTCGAGAGGACCTTAGCTGCCAATAATGAATAGACATTATTTATCTAGATTGTAGGTAATTATGAAGTATAAACTAGTTAAGCCATTGATTTTAGAATATATTAAAATCAATGGTTAATTATCTATTAGTTGTGTAACAATTATTTACGAACACAAGTTTTGTTCACGCGGTATGAACAAAATGTAATAATTGGTTAAATTTAAATGGCGAAAAGTTCATTGGAATTGAATCGTGAAATTTTATAACTTTTATAGACAAAGTTTTACGTATACAGACATAGGCAAAGTACAAACGTATTACATTTACACTTAGTGGTAGGTATCGTAGAGTGTGTGTGTGGATATTGTAATTATGTTTATAGTGTTTATACTGCTGAATTTTGTGTGTGTGTGTGTGTGTGGATATTGTAATTATGTTTATAGTGTTTATACTGCTGAATTTTAGACATACAGCAGTACGAGTGATATTACTGACAAGACGCAATAAATATTAATTAATTATTACCAATTAGTATGTACTATTATGAATCATGGTTTACGTTCACCATTATGCGTTCCATTGACGTCCATTATCCGTAATCCGTATCCCAAAACACGCCCACTGAACATTAGAGAAGTTGAAACACTAGACAGATCACAGATGAAACATTCAATTATTCAAATAACATGATACTTATGATTTAATTAATTCCTTGTTCGTCACACAGATTTGTTTGGTTCGTAGGAACATGCGTTGATATCAATATGACAATATTGATAAATAAATGATAAGAAACTTAAACCACAGCCCACAGGTTGATGAATATTGCCGCAAAAGCGATAAAAATAATATTACGCTTCAATAGCTATTACGATGTTGTTAAAAACTGTGTTTTTTGAAAAAATGTATGTGTTAAACGTTAACCGTTATATTTTAGAATCGTGTAATCCACTTGTATTTGTTTATTAAATGAGATTGTTACTCTTACTTGTTTCAACCAACCATAGTTAGAGCCTTAGAGATAAGTCAAATGATTATTTCTCACACAGAAAAAATGATAAATGAACTACAAAAATATTCTTATCTTGTTGATCACACTTCTTCTTCTATTATATAACAGCTCAATACCGATCAATAAAGGTGGACCAATGTAAACTACTAAACTATTCCAATGAGTTAATAGTTATTCAAAATTATTATTATTTTTTTTTTACTAATAAACAATAATTTTATAAAAGGTAAATAATTATTATTAGTACACCAGTTGGTTAGTAATGGCTTTAGATTTGAATCAAATACCAGCCTTACCAGCAAAAACAACATTTGTTTTACACCTCATATTAATTACTTGGTAAGTATGAATTTTCTAATATAATATAATCTATCCCCTTACCTAACGTGTTATACTTATATTATAGGGGTGTTCAAGGACAATGGAGTCCAGATTCTTATATTTTTTACAATATAACATTCATGGGCTGCGTTTTGTGGGCAATGCATCAAACAGAAAATGAAAAACCAGCACAACTAGTATATATTTTTGGTTTAGAAGACGTGATACCCTCTTGTGTTGTTTCCATCTTACATGTGTGTAACATACCAAATTTTACTCTCAGAATATCATGTTTAGCTCTGTTAGTTAAGAATTCAGAGAGAATTGACCTTTTATAAAATTAATGGTAAAGTTATCATCTAGTTGATCTCATTGATTTTTTTATCATATTTTTATTTCAACTTGAATTTTTACTGTTTTGAGTATTTTAAGATGTGCAAACAATTGCAATTTTTAAATACTTATAACTCGCTTTTGAATTAAAATATAAAAATCCTGAGATTGACTAGATAATAATAATAATTTGTTAAAGCTAATAACCTATGTAGTTGATGCTTAACTAATAAAATATATATATATATATTACCTTTAAATTTTATAAGAGGTCAATTCACTCTAAATTCTAAACTTAAAGTTATCTGATAAGTATAAAATTTGAAATTTTATGCACTAGTAAGACGGAGACAACGCTGCAGGTATCATGTCCTATTAATTGTACAGGCACATTATGCGATTCCATTTTTCATGGGGAAAAAACCACTGTATTATATTACAACTAATAACTGATACTGATACTGATATTAATAATAAAAAATATTATTTGAATGTATGATGTATAAAACTTAGTAATACTATTATAAAATATGAAATTTAACCAAATTAAAATATTGATAATTTAAACTTAATTTTTGTCAATAATAAAAATAAATCTAATATTTTATATATTTATCATATTCCATGATTATAATAAATCTCAAAGTTGAGTTTTTAAATTGTTATTGTCCATTAATATTATAATAATATTTTATATTATATGTGCGATTTCATAACTATATTATAATATATTCATTTTGGATAATTAGTTTCGATGAAACAAGGAGTGCATTGTTGTYACATCTTTTTTCGTGCACATTTATAGCAATAGGTATTCAGTATAGAACAAATGCTCTCAAACTTTCTGGTAGTAATTATGTTTATAAAATAATATTTATCTAGTTGACAATTTGAAGATTTACTTGATACTTTTTAGATTTTCTTCATTGTTAACCTATGTATTTGAAAGCACCCACAAAAACCATCAATATATTTTAAAGATATATCAGCAAGTTATGTTTATAAAATAATCAATTATGATGATTTTTAAGTTTGATATTATGTTATTCATAACATACCACCTAGTTTCACATGGTGAATGAAGCGTTACAAGTACTTAAAACCTGGTATCTATATCCTGTTTTGTATACCAGTTATCTAGTTCAGTATCAGTTTATATTTAAGTAAGCTTAACTTACTTTACTGTTACAACATAAGTTTAAACTTCATTATCTACCTGCTTTTATATATATATTTTAATTTACAATGTCTTATCTACTATGTATATTTATATTTTCAGGCTATTTCTGTAAACCTGGCTACAGTATGTTTAGATATTGTTACTATTTACTGTTATTTTCCCTCCTCATTTTGTAAGTAAAAGATTATGATTAGTAAATTAGGGTACTAATAATTAAAGTTCATTCTTACAGGGTTGTCGGAAATATTCAGTGTTATTTGTGCCATGGCAAATTTGGTCCTGCGTTTTGTAACACTATCAATTCTTAGTCAAATGTGTATAGACACCAGTAATGGAGTCTCTGATGGCATACCACCTCCTTTACAAAATTATATTAGTAAGAAATGTTTTAAAAGTATTATTTCAAATGTATTTCCCGTGTTTTAAATAAAAAAAATGTATTTTTTAGGTAGAGGAACTGCTAACCCACAATCATACGAAGATATTGATCAGCCTCCACAACAACAACAAGCTCCAAGCAATGCCCCATTTTTTACACCATACCGTTAAAGACTATAAAATTATTTTAATACAATTTATATTATATTAATATTGTTCTAACATAATGTTTGAACAATACAGGAAAAAGTCTCATTATTGTGTCATAATTTAAATTGTTGTTTTAGGTTAGTTATTTTACAAAAAAAAAAAATCTATTAAGATTAATGATTATGATTCTACATAAGAATTTTTGTATTTCAAGTTCACGCAATCATGGATAAATTAAAAACAAATAATAAATTATTTTTATTTATTGTAATTTATAAATTTATAAAAAATATTTATTAGTATAAAAATGTATATTTTAAGTAATCGAATTATTCTTTATTAAGTAATATAATATATTTGATACTGTGCTGAATTGCGTGATTTAGTGGAATTGCTTGTAATATATACCAATATCAACACTGATCCTTAAAATGTCCTGTAGATTCTAATCGTATTATTTTGCAAATTGCCTTCAAATAAAAAATTAAAAGATTGATATCATTTTTTGAAATATTAATAAGTAATAAAATCTGATTCTTAGCCAAGTCGCATATGAGGACATAGCGTTGGATTATTAAAAAAAGTTTGAAATTAATCAAACATTTGTAATAAATATAGTAAGGTTAGGTTAGATAATTCAGTGTTATGAATTATTGTATTATTTATAGTTTAAGTAAACAATGCAACGAAAATTAATCTAAGTAGGTAATAATAATAATAATAATAATAATAAAAAATATTGCATTCTGTCTGACTTGAAGAAACATTTCAACTGTTAATAACAGCCACAAGTATATTTAAATTAATTTACATGTACAAAATTCAAAACTTAACATCTTTTATGAACCAAGAATACTAAGTATTTATTTTAAATTTAAGCTAAGTCTAGTTTAGTTGAAAATCTCAATAAGTCTTTTGTAAGTTTTAATACATCAAATTTATAAGTAAGTTATACTATTTTTAGTTGAAGTCTTATTTTTTAAATTAAAATTTAGAATACTTACATTGAAAAACTATAAGTAAGCTTGCCATCCATGAAATAACAGTGCTAAGTTATTCGGGTCTCTTGCTTTTTGTATTAGCAAATTAACCTGCCCATTAATACTGGCTGCAGCGGTTTCAGCTTGTTCCATTCCACGTAATTTAACACGTACTCTGTTCAGTGATCTTTCGGCTAATTTATTTACTTCAGTAGCTAAAATAAATTATTAATAAAAATCATTAAACTATAATTMTTTTTTTAATTTTTTACCATTATCATTAATGCTAGAATTTTTTTTTGTTGATTGATTTTGAAGTTGAATAGCTTTTTTTCCTGTTAATGCCCATTGATAACACGGGTCATATAATAAGACTTCGATAACAGTGACAATTACATCTTGGTTTTGACGTAAAACAGACATAGTTTTTTCACAGCACCTATTTTATAAACATATATAAGATACATAATAAATAATAAAAATAATTTTAAAATATATTAACTATTCATACTTTCGAAAAGTTCCTTCTATGCCACAGATGCCCATACCATCAACAATATCTCTTGACAGTCTAAATGGAACAGTTTCTGGTGTAGACAATAAAGTTCCTTGTTCAAATGCGACCCCTAAATTATAATAGTAATATGAAGTCATGTTAAAATTTCACTGAGAAATATTTTAAATTTTTAGACATACCGAAATCAATATGAATGAGTTCCGCAGTAATGTTATCAATCAATATGTTTTGAACATGACGATCACCTAAGCCTAATATGTATCCTACCATAGAAGTAGTAGCAACACTTCACAAATATAATAAATTGTATCATTACTTATTAGATATCAAATTGTCAAATTTTAATTTAATAAATAAACTATTACTGTGTTAGTAGTATTGGGATAGATAAAAATACAGGAGCGCATATTACATTAAAAAAAAAACAGTCAGCTAGTTAAATTTTTTTGCAGTATAGTGGCGGAAATAGCATTAATTGTTTATTGTTGTAATACGATCGCCGACTGGTTGTTTTTTTCCATGTTGCATGTATAGGGTTACACACTCTTGAATTCTTATCTGTCTCAATAAATCTAACAGCATTACTATTATAATATATTTTAAGCAATGTTTCTTACCTATGTATATAGGCTTGCCTCCTTTCAAACCAAATTGAAGGTGATAAGAATTTCTCAAAGAAATAATATCGAAATACTGGTTTTAATTTCTTACAAATTTCCAAATATATTTTTTGTTTAGTCAATTCACAATCTCTTTTTACCTGAGACGACTGTATGAAACAATAAAATTTTTGCATATAAATAACAATTTTATAATACTAAATAGTACATAAATATAACTACAGAAAAGAAAAAGTAATAGTTCAGTAAATAATTTGTAAGCTAATTTTGAACAAAATGTTAATAAGTGCAGCATCCTTCCACAACCATGGATATTCAATCATTCAATTGGAGGAAAAGTAGATGAAAAAATTAATAACTTGTAATTTATTAAGTATTTTTTAATTACAATAATAAAAATAAAAATAAAACACTAAATCATATAATGTAGTTAAATTAATTTTAATCATTTAATTTAAATGCACATAATTTGCTTTAAAATTAAAATATCATACAATGTTTATACACAATATGCTTGTTATGAGCTAGTAAAGTACAAATAACATGCGAGAGTACAATGTTCTCTTAAACTCATAGCAATGGTTTATCTTACAGGTAGAACTCATTGKTAGGAAGTCAATGAAATAAACTAATTAGAGTACTGCCATTAGTAGGGCACAAATGTTTTTTTATTTGCAACTTTGCAAGTTTTAAATATGTTTTATGTAAGTAGGAATTAATATCTAAAAAAAAAATTACTTATTTATACATAATWATTAATTTTTATCAATTTTTCAATTTTGTTCATATTATTTTACTTTGGTTAAATCAAACAAAATAATAAAAAAATAAATATTTTCATTCCAATTTAATAAATTAAATTTTAGGTAGTAGTTTAGTTTTTTAAAATAAAAGGTTGAATATATATAGAATTGAAATGGTATTTAAGAAAAAAGAAAGATAAAAATAAATATGTAATTATTCATGTATATTGTTTAATGTTAACTGTAAAGTAAAAGAAAAATAACCAATAAATAAACAATTAATTAAAAATATTTATAATGAAATATTGTAATTTTTTAGTGCAATATTGTAATACATTTTATTATTTTTTTACTATTCAAAGTAGCTATAAGTGTACCAAATTTTTGTTTTACAAATAAAAATAATATAGTAATGAGTTATTATTAATAGATAAATATTTATATAAAATATAAACATAATATAATTATTTGGAGCTCATACATACTTTAAGAATATTTCTAGCCTCTGCTGGTGTTATGTCTTCTGGCCTATATTTTTGATGGGCACCTGTAATCAAATTTTTYCCTGTTAAGTAGTTAGAAAGAGACATTGTGTTTACACACCATTCAGCAATTCCACTCTGTTGTGAAAATGGGATCACCTGTAAAATAAAAATGCTAGGAAAAAAGTCTTAATCAAAACAATAATCATAAGGTACTTTATAAGTTCTTATGGTCAATTTTCTCTTAGCTGTAGATTTATTAGAATTTAGTAATTTATTCATTAATACGAATACTTGTTGCATAATTGCATCTTGATGCATGTCTTCATTACCCTGAAACATTATGATAAATTTTTTTTGTTTTTAATATACTTATGAAAATCTGTAAATGCATATCTACTTCACCTTTAATAAAAGTGATCTTTGAATACCATCAGAACACAAACAATCAATTTTTTTTGGTTCATGTACTCCACCACAATTTAAAAATGAATTTTCAAATCTAACAATACCTGTAAGTATTAAGTAATATATTTCAAGACAAATCCTAATAAAATATTCTGTATTAATTATACTCTTATAATAGCAAGTATACTAGTTATACTAGGTAAATAATAATCTTTAACTATGAATTGCGCCTATTTGAGGCCGAAAAGTGTCAAATARGTAGCTCTTCAACAACATATTGTTGTTTTTAGTAATAAATCCTGAGAAGCAATTCATTAACCATGTTAGTACCGTGTTTTTAGAATTATCTGCTTCCATAAATAAAAAAATACCAGCCACCATATATTGACTTTCAATGTTTATAAATTATAATTGAAATTATTTATTAGATAAGTTTCAATTAATTTTAAAATAAAAGCTATTTGTTGGTAAGGAAATCAACCATTAAAATTAGGTATTAGTAGTAAAAGTTATTACATTGAAGTCTGAGAAATAATTACAGTAATTATTTATTTTTCATAATAATAAAAATACCAAATGGAAGTTATGAATAAGAGCAAATAAGAATTTAGTTCTCCCCAAGAAATTATTGAAAATATGCCACTAGTTTTGAGCATGTACTGAAGTGAGAGCTTATAATCTAGTTGCGTCCTGCGAGTAGAATAAAGGTCGCTRCACACTGTAGAGGTGGTGGTAAAATTGAGTCTGGCTTTATTTTGACATAATCACCACCACTACAACTTACTGCAGTGTGTGGAAACTAGAATTCCAAGAGACACTTTCAAGAACATCTGGAGCATCCAGAGAACAATTTTAAAGGGAATTAATTAACTGTTGGTCAACTTCAAAGTGTCACAAGTATAAATTATTTTTGCATTTCTTGTAACTGTTTTATTATTTTTATTTCAATAAATATTTACTTACTTATAATGTTTGAATAGTCACCAAGTTTGTTTAGTGGCAATGTTGCTGTAGGATACATATAAAATTCTGAGTTTTGTATTTTCATTAGAGGTTGTTCATTAGGAATTGTAATTCCTACAATCATAAAGAAATTTTTTAAAGAAAGTACCTACATTTAAGTTTAATATTATTTCAAATAGAYAAATCATACGTTGGTCATGTGAACAAGAAAATTTTGTATAAGCTAATTGTATAAATGCTTCATATAATTTTTCTGTATTTATCACAATAAAACTAATGTTTTTATCTTTTTTCCAATTTAACATTAAACGTTTAGCAGCTAATACTCTAGACTAAAAATCAAAACAAATATTAAAAATTATATTTAGTGAAACTACAGTAGTATAAAATACTTCTTCTTCATCATTAAAAGATGGTTCACATTGATTAAACTTATGATCTATATTTGTATTTGCGACAGCATAAACAATCGGGATGGTTTGAAATGGGTGGTCCAATGCACAACAATCTATAATAAACAACAAATTTATACTTGACACCCAACTAAATAAGAAATAAGTTATATAAATAGTATACTTATGATTTTTTCCAAAGATTTATGAAAAGAGTGTTCAGACGTGCAATTTAAATGAGCAACCAATTGAGGAAGAACCAAGATAAATTTATATGAAGGATTTTTTTTAAATCCTTGGTAAATAATATCATTTATTTCGTTATTTCCTTTATTTTCTAACCATAAAGATACAATTCTATAAATAGGAAGTTTGCTTTCATCATCTAATGTCATCAATTGCAAATAGTTTCTAAATTTAAACAATATAACCATTAACATTATGAAATATATTGATATAACTATTTATTAACAACCAAGTAAAATTAATTATTTATATTTCATTTTTGATTTTGTGTTAATAAATAATGTAATAAAAATGTAATAAATAAAAAGTTTTAGTTATACTGAATAAGTGAATAAGGTTAATTGAATTATATTCTTTGTTTATTTAAAATATCTGAAAAAATTATGACTGAGTTTTGATATTAAATTATAGTGATAAAAAATATACCTTTTAAAAGAATATTATTTTGCAATTTAATTTAATTATATACCTAATATATGCATTAAGTATTAACAACCAATTTGAAGAATAAAACTGTGTATAAACTTAAAATTCACCAAGTATTAAGTATTAATGTTTCAATTGCACTTAGAAGGTACTAAATAAATAAATTTGAGCATGTCAAAGTTTAAGGTAATATTATACCACATATTTATCCAATTTCAAATGCTATAAAATCCCAACCCAGGTTACAACTTACAAGTATTACAAAATGTTGGTTCACTACTAC